ATTTTTATATTTATTTCTTTAAAATTTCTATTATATTGTGTACCTTCCTATTTGCCTGATTATTTTCATGTATCTAAATATCAATTTTAGTAGTTAAAAAACAAATGAGATGCGGTTACAGCTTTTGTTGTATAAGTAGTGATGATACTTATGCTTTTCCTTGAAAGTGAAAAAGAGAGAATTGTAAAGATCATGACCAAGTAAGGCGTCTGCAGTCAGGGACATTGTCGATGGCGATGGTTAAGTGGGACACTGTATTTCGTCTGATCTTGAGTGGTTTCTCGAAGGTCTTAGTGGAGCAAATGTGTCCATCAGTCTTACAAGCGTGGGCCAGGCTTATCAAATAGGAACTTTGTTATGTGTTGTATTTGGTCGCTCTTTAAACAAGTGTTATTTTCTCAATAACTATTTGATCTCTATTATCCTTCTTTTGCTTTTTTTGTCTTTTAAAAGAGCTTATAAGCTCATAAATTGATCATTTTTTTTTTCCTGAAGGTTATTTTCGAAGGGACTATTTTGAGCCAGAAAAGTTTCATCGGGCTGGATCAGCTCTGGGTCTATGCCTGTGGACAGGTCCCACCCAGAAAGCTTTGCCCTGTAGACGAATTCACTTGTGCCAGTGGCCAGTGCATTGCCCAAGAATCCGTCTGTGACTCTCGACAAGACTGCTCTGATGAGAGTGACGAGGACCCAGCAACTTGCTGTAAGTGAATTAATGGTTTATTCGTTTACGTGCTCTAATTCACGATTGTTAGTAGGATTTAAAATAGCCTTTGTCTGTTTAGGTAAAGGTAATATGTGTGAAATAAGACGAATGTGTATTCTTGCTCTGAAACTATTAGCACTATTTCTTCAGGGGTCTCTATGTTAATTTACTGTGTTGGTGCTTGTTGCTAAGACCACAAAATCTGTTTGTTTAACAAGTGAATAGTTGTGATTACTGTTGTGTGTGCATGTGAATGTGTGGTGCTTTGGGTAAAGAGGAAAATGGGGTGAAGAGGGAACCTATTTGTACTTTCCCGTTGGAGGCACATGGTATGAGTTGCTAACCTTTATTGAATGTGTGCCTTTTTTCCGTCTCTAACCAATTATCCAATTATCTTGGACCCTGTGGGGAGAGGGAAAAAGAGGAGGTAGGCTGCCATTGCCTCCAGAAATTGCTTCAGTCACGACTGGTGTTCAGGAGGGCAAAAAAAAAAAAGGCCCCAACTCCTTCCTTTCAGGCCTGTCTGAAGAATCTTTGATAGGAGTGATGACAAGAGATCCCATTACTATTCAAGCTCAGTCCTATTTCAAAGAAAATATAATTTAATTTACAACCCACGTGATGGTTCTCATGTGAGGTAACTTAGCAACTAAGATTCTCACGTCACTTTAGAAACCGTGAATTTCAACTAAACGAATACTGTTTTTATATCACAAACAAGTGGCTTTTAAAACAACATTAAAATTTTGACATTTATTTTATGATAATGTTTTATTTTAGTGAGATATTTTGTTGAGCAGAGGGAAAATATTATAAGATACATGCTACTTCGTTAATGAAAATCTCTGTCCAATACGCTTCTTTTGACAGGCAAGGATTTTATTAAGAGCAATGGAGAGGAACGTGGGGAAGAGAAAGTGGGAACGTAAGGGAGAAACCCCCTGCTGGTCTGTTTGTAAACAGTAATCCCATTACTTTCTCAAACACCTACCTTTAAAGGCAATAATCTGCAAACCAACCTGATCTCAATGGAGCTTTTGAGTGGCTCTTTCATTCAAAAAGAACAATGCCAGGACAATTTATTTTCCCTAATGTTAGTATGTCAGATTCCTTTCTGTGCTTTAGTTAATTTTTTTTAGAGACAATTTGGTTCTTTTCTGTTGGGGAAATTCATCTTTCTAACAGTTTCTATTATTCTTAATTTCAAGAATGGAAAGGAAGTATGTTTGCTTTCTTTCCCATTGTAGTTTTGGAAGCCTAGCTTTTTTCTTCCCTTTTTTTCTTGTAGCAAGGCATTCTTTATGTCCCCCTCCTTTCAATCCATTTTCTTAATTGAATCCCACCCAGAGTATTAGTAGATACTTTAGCATTTGATTTTCGACATATTTTCCCGTTTCTTTTCCTTTATTGAAGTTGCATGGATTATTTATCCGGTACTTTTGCGACTCAATAGGTCTGAATACCATTCTGCTATTTTCTTTAGGTGAATGCAGAAACAGGGAACTGTTTTTATGAACAAAAATAGTGTCTTCGAAGTTTTCCAAATAATGTAACCTCATTTGTCCAAAGATAACCTGTTCCATTTGCTTGATTGGAATCAACTTAATATAGGGGATATGACATAGAAATGTAGCCATATTACATATGGTACATATACTTATCCATATATTAATATTTTGATGCCAAAATGAATATTTCATGTAAATATTTTATAATTAGTTTTGCTGTGAAGAAATAATTTACATAGATTTGAATTATTAAAATGGATATAAATTTATGCTATTTTCTGCACCAAAGTATTTAAGGTATTTGTGCATAAGATGGGTGTATGTATATTCTAAAATAAGAAAGGTTTTCCTTTGAAATTTAAAACCACTTCGAAACATTTTACATATACTTTTACATTTGTATTTTACAAATTTAAATTTGTAATACAAAGGTTTTTTTCATAAATAAAGAATCCAAGTTCATGAGCCCCCCACCCACCCAAATGCCTTCATAACTTCTTTTTATCCCACTTTAGAATGAATGTCCAGGAGGATATAACTTGTACAGGCAGGTGGAATAGCGGCAGGAATACCTAGCATATTCTGGAGAATGAGTCAATAGGAATTCGTGAAGATTGTCAGCTGGTATTCTTCAGTCAGTGCTTTCCCCAAAAGGCAGGCTCACTCAGGTGTTCTTTCATTATCAAGTTGCCCTTACTCTTAGGTACCATTTTAATACATGTAGTTACTGAGCCTCCAGCCCAGTGGCATCTCAAAAGCACTTAATTGTCAAGGGCCAGCGGGTTTTGCTAGCGTTTTGCAGCTATAGCAAACTCCTCCGTGGACTGGAGCATCGACATCACTTGGGAACTTGTTCAAAAGGCAGAGCCTCAGGCCTTAGCCCAGCCCCACAGAACCAAAAGCCACATTGCAATAATTAATGTCCCAGGTGACTCGCCTGCATATTACACTTTGAGAACCACTGTGCCAAAGAAGCTTCAGAAATGAGGACGGCTGAGGGAGGAAACAGATGGTGTACAAAAATATTGACCAAAAACTAAAGGCAAACTAGTCATTGGCCTCTTGGGATTGAAGGAAAAGCTCTCATTACTTCACCAGTACTTAAGAGCATCACGATAATATCAGACAATAGATTTTTGACATTTACTAACAAGATCCTGTGTAAAATGGGGACAGTTAAGATTGAAATATGTCCGCACTCCCCTGCTCATTGCAGCATCATTCATGGTAGCCAAAACATGGAAATAACCCAAGTCTGTTGGCAATGGATTGATGGATAAACATCCAAAAAGGGGTGTGTATATATGTATATATATACACACGAACACAATGGAATGTTCTTCAGCAATAAAAAAAGAGGAAAATCCTCCCATTTGTGACAACAAGGATGAACCTGAAAGACATTATGCTAAGTGAAATAAGCCAGGCAAAGAATCTAAAAAACTGAACTCGTAGAAAGAGAGAGGAGTAGGATGGTGGTTACCAGAGGCTGGGGCAAGTGGGAAATGGGGAGATGTTGGTCCGAGGGTAGAAATGTTCAGTTATCAGATGAATAAGTTCTGGGGATCTAATGTGCAGCATGGTGACTCTAGTTAGTAACATTTTATACTTAAGTTAGCTAAGGGAGTAGATCTTAACTGTTCTCACCCCCCCACACACACACGTAGATATAGATATGTTAATTGGCTTTACTGTGGTCTAGTATACATTTCACCATGTATATGATTTTACCATGTACATTGTACACCTTAAATAGATACAATTTTATTTGTCAATTATATATCAATGAAGTTGGAAAAAGTAATAAAATATATATGCAATATATTTTAAAATATTTTATCAAAATAATCCAAATATACTATGTGACAAACATATCCAAAGGCATACATTGGGCAGCTGAACAATTTACATATAAAGTATATCTAATTTTCAGACACGTGCTATAACAGGAATGAACCTTGAATACAATATGCTAAGTTAAAATAAACCAGACACAAAAGGACAAATATTGTATGATTACACTTATGTGAGGTCCCTGGAGTAGTCAGATTCATAGGGGACAGAAGGTAGAATGGTGGTTACCAGGGGCTGAGGATAGGGGGATATGAGAAGATGTTGGTTAAGGGGTGCAAAGTTTTAGTTACTCAGGATAAATAAGTTCTGGGGATCTAATGTGCAGCATGGTGACTCTAGTTAGTAACATTTTATACTTAAGTTAGCTAAGGGAGTAGATCTTAACTGTTCTTGCCCTCTATTATCCTTCTTTTGCTTTTTTTGTCTTTTAAAAGAGCTTATAAGCTCATAAATTGATCATTTTTTTTTTCCTGAAGGTTATTTTTGAAGGGACTATTTTGAGCCAGAAAAGTTTCATCGGGCTGGATCAGCTCTGGGTCTATGCCTGTGGACAGGTCCCACCCAGAAAGCTTTGCCCTGT